TTTTTTTGCTTTACGCGGGCCTCTCACTGTTGTGGCCTCTCCCATTGTGGAGCACAGGCTCCGGACGCGCAGGCTCAGCGGCCATGGCTCACAGGCCCAGTTGCTCCGCGGCATATGGGATCTTCCCAGACCGGGGAACGAACCCGTGTGCCCTGCATCGGCAGGCAGACTCTCAACCACTGCGCCACCAGGGAAGCCCTAGTGTAGGGATTTTTAAAGGTACCTTTCTCAACCTATTAACTGGTATGTCCTCTTTCTGAGGAACCCCTAGGGTTTCTCTGGCCTCAGAGTTTGGAAGCAATGGTTGAATATCATAGGAATGCAAAGAAGTTCAACTATGAATTTTCTGCAAAAGGAAAGAAAAAAGAACCAAGCAGAACAAGGCAGCAATGTAAATGGAAAACTATTTCACTTGACTCAGGACACGTCAACCTTGTTTGAATGTGAAAAGGGAGATGTTAACTCTTGTTTGCTAATGAGACCTCTGTTCCCCAGGGTATCTCACCATTTGAGACTGTTCAAGCACTGAGTGTGATTTCAATGTTTAAAATGCATTTTTTCACTTACTGCAACCCTGTTTATAATATTATGTTCATTATTATGAAATTATACATTCACATGTTTACTTTATGCATAGGGTAGTCCAAACCTAGCCGTGGAGCTGTACTTGATGAGTAATATAAAGGATTTTCAAGGGTTATTTTGACCATGCGTAAGTTTTACCTTCCTGAGAACCAAACTCTTTGTGTAAGATGGGGCTACATACTAGTGGCATTGCTATGGAGAAACAAATTTATTTTTTAATCTTACTGTCTCCTCTGAACTCCTCCTCTGGTTCATTGCTACTTATTCAGTTGATCCTCAGGCTCTCTCTCCAGTCTAAATGGGATGCATTCATTATTCGGTCTCACAGAATTCCTTTCCTTAATTTTGGAGCAGTTATTTCAATTTCTAGTTAGTCCTAATTACTTAATTGATGCCCAAGCCTCTTCCAGAGTATAAGTCCTGTAAGGGATATGGATGCCCAAAGCCTGGGGTTTCAATGCCTTTTATATCATGGCTGCTTGTTAAATATTTGTTGAATGAATATAATTGATCATGTTTCCCTCCTTGTATTCACTGCTAGAAATTAAGGTCCATTTGTGGCTTATATATTTCTAATAATTGTGCATTTTGGATATAAACTCTCTTGATTTTATTTTACATTTTAATTCTTGTTTTTCATTTTTCTTAATTTCATTTCTTTAGTATTGTATTGTTGTTTTGAAAGAATTTTTAAAGAGCTGTTCAAAATTGTTGTTTAGAATAAGGTAGCATATAAATAAATATGTAAACATACAACCAAACAAATATGAATGAAATAACTCATCTAGCTGAGGAATGGGACTTTCCTGATCACAGCGTTCTCCTTGTCACTCTCCTTTTTGGCTTTTGCAGTGTCAAACCCTTCCACTTATCTGTCTCAATCATTTGTTTTTCCTTGCAGACGCTCCTTACACTGGCTTTTAAAATGTTTGTTTCCTAGGATTCAGTCCTAGATTATCTTCTCTTTTCCTCCTAAATATTACTTCCCATCTATGCCTTAGAAATCAGCTCTCACCCGCATATTCATGACTCCATATCTTCATCTCCTGTTCAATCTCTTTCTTGAACTACAGAACTGCATTTCTATTTAACTTCTAGTCACCTGAGGTGTCATGTGGCCCAAGATATTGCTTTTGTTTTTCATTAAAAGAGGAGGTAAATTGATTGGCAAATAATTTCCAAATTACACTTTATTTATTTATTTATTTTTGAATTTTATTTTATTTTTTAATACACAGGTTCTTATTAATCTATTTTATACATATTGGTGTATATATGTCAATCCCAATCTCCCAATTCATCCCCACCCCCCACCGCTTTCCCCCTTGGTGTCCATACGTTTGTGCTCTACATCTGTGTCTCTATTTCTGCCTTGCAAACTGGTTCATCTGTACCATTTTTCTAGATTCCACATATATACGTTAACGTACGATATTTTTTTTCTCTTTCTGACTTACTTCACTCTGTATGACAGTCTCTAGATCCATCCACGTCTCAACAAATGATCCAATTTCATTCCTTTTTATGGCTGAGTAATATTCTATTGTATAAATGTACCACATCTTCTTGGGGAGCCAGGATATACAGGAGTTTTGCAACAAAGGGCAGGTAGTCGGGAAGGTCAAAAGATTATTGTTAATTAAAGAAAACCAGATATCTCAAATTAAGGAATTTAGCTCTTTTCTATGTATGGGAAGATGCATACATAGATGAGTCTGGGCTCACTGAAATCACTCCTTTGATGTGCACCTCAGCTATCTGGGGCCAGTATCTTGTATTTTCACACCCTGAGTTTCCTCAGGGCTCACCTCAGGGAGTGGCTGCAGTCTGACAGCTGCTAGATTGCAGGTATTCTTTTCAATGCTGAGTTTCCTCAGGGCTCACCAGCTCATGTTGGAGGGCTGCAATCGTTGACGACTGTGACATCCTTTGTTTATTGATATGGCAAGAAATATTCCATTTATAAATATTCCATTCCATTTATAAATTTTCCCTTTATCAGATACAAAAGAGTATAAAATAAAAGGTATTCTTCCCTTATTTCTACCTTTGTCATTTTAAATTTGTAATCTTAAAGAAATTACAACACTGTATGGGCAATCACATGCACTGGTTTCTTATGTATATTTACAGTGATAATATGATTATATTATATGAGCATATATATATATATATATATATATATATATATATATAAAATAGTGTTTTCATTACACATACCATAAGCAACACAGTTTTTTACCCTGCACCATGCTTTGGGGGAGCTGTTTATGAAGAATATAAAAGGATAGGGACAACCATAAAAATGGATAAGAAAAAATAATTTGCTTCTGGTCTAGAAGTCATGTCATGATCAGATGCCTCAGTTCACACTGACCTGCGGCTTATATGATACTCCTAGTACAGGGGATTCTGTGCTGCTCCAGGCACTGGACAGATGGTCAAATGCCCTGAATCACTGGACTAAAGCCTGAAAAAAGGCTTTAAGGGCCCATCAAAGGAGCCTTGAGACAAGGTGTGAATATGGGATTTATCTATCATATTATAAAATGAGATACGCCCCTCCTCATATTCTAGGAAAATACACACCCTGGCAGGGTGTTCCTTTAGAGTAAGTTGCGTTTCAGGAGAGGTGAGTGCCCAGTACTCATCCTTATAAAACCTGATGGCCCAGAAACCATTCTCAGGTGTGATGCAAATCCTCCCCTTCCTCATTACATGAGGCCTACAAATTCCCAGGTCCCAGGCTCCATGGTCTCCGACTTCTACTTCCCAGTAGCACTTCCTGGAGGTGAAGACCTGATGACCCAGCACACAGGGAAGGGAATAAAATCTCTGTGGGTCCTCAGGTAGATCTTGAGACTTCACTCCCCAGGTTACACATCTGTTCCCTTCTGACAAGGTGAGGGAAGGATGTGCCGTGGCTGGATCCAGAGTAATATTCACTGCAAAGACAATAACCCTTTTAATCTCTGAAAAACAGGGATCTTGGAAGCCGAGAAACTATTTGTATTAGCCTGAGATATCTTTGAGCTTGTGGGACATGCATATACTCCCACGTGGACTCTTTCATCTACAAATCCTGAGACTGATCCTGAGAGTAAGGAGTAGAGTCCCTCTTCGGCCATCAGGGAATGGACTCACCAGCCTGGAACAATTCTTTCCTCCAGTCTGAAAAGAAATATGTATTATCAGACCTAGTGCCTGAATTTCCTGGTACAAGAGGTAATTTTCTTTCTTTCTTTCTTTTGTTTTAAAATTTATTATTTATTTAATTTATTTATTTTTGGCTATGTTGGGTCTTCGTTGTTGTGCGCGGGCTTTGTCTAGTTGTGGTGAGCAGGGGCTTCTCTTGTTGCGGAGCATGGGCTGTAGGCGCATGGGCTTCGGTAGTTGTGGCTCACGGGCTCAGTAGTTATGGCTTGCAGGCTCTAGAGCACAGGCTCAGTAGTTGTGGCGCACGGGCTTAGTTGCTCTGCGGCATGTGAGATCTTCCCGGACCAGGGCTCGAACCCGCGTCCCCTGCATTGGCAGGCGGATTCCCAACCACTGTGCCCCAAGAGGTAATTTCTTCTATTTGATACTTCTTTTGCTAAGGATCCAAATTTATTCTATAACTTTTGCTTGAACTAAAGTTTCCACTGCTTTTCTTATTAAATATTCTTCTAAGAATTACTTCCTCTAGCTTATACTTTATGTGGTGCAGACTATAGGCATTCCCAACTCACAGTTACCCTCTTCTTAAGCAAATAGCAAAATTACATGTCTGCCTCTCACCACCTTCACTGCATTTAGGTGAGACTATGTGACTGAGTTGTGACCGATAAAATGTGCTCAGCAGGGAACCATATCATTTCTAGGCTTGACAAGAAAATTGTTCATGTGATTTTTTTTTTTGTTCTTCTTCTCACTGTAACACTTTCCCACCCAATTCCAGAACTAAAAGGCCCTTAAAATGGAGAATATAGAAGACTGGGAAAAAAAACTTGTTCTCAGAGTTACTATTTTGAAGAGAGTTGCCCAGGAGAGCCACTGACCCAGGTATATTCATAAAATTTGTATGTGTGGTTAAACCACAGAGACATGGGAATTGATTTTTGTAAAAATCAAAGTTAATTACACTGCTCAACGCAGAAAGTGCTGTTGTTCTTGCAGCAAAAGTAGAAATGAAGTTTTCCCTCCCCTGATAACAAGGAAAATAAAGGGAACAGCGAACAGGCTAAAGAAACGTAACCTGGCCTGAAAGAGTTAATCACTCCTTGGTTTACTTTAACTGTCCCTAATTTGTACTAACTAGATTTGTACTTGACAAAGCTAACCTCACTTCCTGACACTATGTAATTTACATTCTGTACCTATCACCCCTAGCTCTGTGTGAATTACAACCCGGGCCCCTTACTCCTAAGCTTATTAGGTCCCAGCACTTACATTCCATACACCCCTCGTAACAAATCACCCCCTATAGTTTTTGCATTTCAGAAACAAGGTCACCGAACGATAAACCAGAGGCAAACGGACACAATTACCAGACTGCAGGACCCCGATTACCGAGTGGCCTGACACCAGCTATGACTGTTTTGAAATAATGCAAAGGAAAGGAAGAAGGCAAGACCTTCACTACTTTGATCCTTATCATATACCCTGGACTTCGAGCCCCACATATAACATCTTCCCTGATTCCCAAGGAGTGGGGGGGCACAGTTCTTGAGGCGCTAGCCTGTTGTGTCTTTCCTGCTGCCTGGAAGAAAAATAAAGCCATCTCTCTCTTCCTCCAAAATCCCTGTTTCCGTATTTCTGTTCCGCCTCAGTGCACAGGGAAGCTGGTATTTCGGCAACATTGTAAAATGAAAGCAAAATATCATAACCAACACTTAAAAAGCATGTGGTCCTGGTTTAATGCTTAGGCAATAGAAGTGACAAAACAGATAAAACTGACTGCATGTAGAGACATCCATGAAAAGAAGAGACAAAACAGTTGCTAAAACTGTTTCCTATGATCATTTAGGAAACATATCTTGTGCCCTAAACAGGACTACAGGAGTTAATTTGAAAGAGAGTATTCTTGGATCTGTTATTGACATCCTATTTTAAAAAAACTATTCATTTAAAAAATAATTATTCACCTTTTTTTCAAACATAAATCAAAATAAATGAAAAACTACCCAAATGTGTAAATTTTCAAGTTTAAAAGGTGATTTTTTTCTAGACCAAGAGTCAACAAATTATGGTCCAGGAGCCAAATCCAGCCCACCCCATGTTTGTGTAAATACAGTTTTATTGTTGCACAGTGATGCTAACTCTTTATGTATTACCTGTGGCTGCTTTTGTGCTAAAAGGGCACAGTTGAGTAATTGTGACAGAGACCATATAACCCACAAACCTTAAAGTATTTACAATCTTGGCCTTTACAGAACAAGTATGGCAATCACTTTTGTAGGCCACCTAAAATAAGAGATGAAATTAAAAGTGCACTCAGCTCAAGGGAATAGTGCATTGAACAAAGTGTTGTAGGAAAATCAAGAATGAGCAAAAATCAAGATGATGGACTTTTTTCAGTTTTACCGGGTAGCTTCAAGTGAGCAGTCATAAAGGGAGACATATAAGAAAAAAAATGAGATTGACAAATATGTCTAAAGTTGTATTTTGGATATAATTATTAACACATGAAACTGTCAGGAAATGTTGAGAAGCCTACTAAATTTGGAGAAAAATGTCAAAAATAACATGAAGAGTTCTTCTGGAATGGCTGAGTAAATAGCTCAGCAAATCCTCTCACCAAAAGCAACAATTAAGACTGGAAAAATTGTCAGAAATAATCACTTTACATGGAAAGTAACAAAGGCACACATCAAATTGGGACCCACTCATTCATGAAAAAATATTTCAAATGATTAATAAAAGAATGCCCATAAAAGGATGATCTCTTGTTACAATAAAATTAAATTAGGAATAAAAAACAGAAGCAAATTTTAGATATAAACCACATTTGGATATTAATCAATATATTTATAAATAATCTGTGGATCAAAAAGGAAATCAAAAGAAAATTTTGAAAATATTTTGAATTGAATAAAAGTGAAAACACCACCTACCAAACTTTATTGGATGCAGCTAAAAGAAGTGCCTAGAGGGAAAATTTAGAGCTCTAAATGTCTGAAGTAGAAAAGGAGTATTATCTTAAACCAATAGCCTAAGCTTCTCCCTGAAAGGACTAAAAAAGAGAAGAGTAAACTAAATTAGAGCAACAGAACAGAATTTTGAGTCCAGAATTCAGTTTATGATCAATTGATTTTTTTCAAAAGGGTCCAGTGCAATTCAATGAGGAAAAGTACACTCTTTTCAAGAGTTGGTGCTAACACAATTGGATATCCACATACAAAAAGACATATTTAGATCTTTCCCTTAACCCACACAAAACAATTAACTCAAAATGTGTTATAGACCTAAAGGTAACAGCTAAAAATATAAAATTTTCAGTAGAAAAATTAGAGAAAAAAATGCATAACCTTGAGTTATGCAAGGAGTACTGATGTTGTAATATAGTAAGAATAAATAAAAATCACAGAAGAGAAAATTATACTCTGCTTTCATTTCTTGGTATCTGCTTTAATTAACTTGTGTCTTGTGAGATGGAGGTGAGAAAGAGATGAGAAGAAAAATACTTTAAAGATTATCATTTTTTGCTATGTTTGCTATGGACCACAAGTTGTGCTTTCTATATTTTTCTCTGTCATGTGGTAGTTAGCATGATGTTTCATAGAATTTAGGAGCTTAATTATATATCTTAGAATCATCTTCGGGCCAATGTACTCACTGGGGTACAATGATGTCTTCTGCCAGCCTGCAAGTGAACAAAATGAGAAAATGTTATTACCCTTCCCTGGTCCTTCTCATATCTTTTCCTCTCTCATCACTGGCATTCTCTAAGTATTCAGTTACTTATTTATCTCTCTGTCCCTTTCCTTCCTCACCATAGTGTGACCGTCCCTTTAACTTGAAAATGGTTGGGTTTGTGTATATGTACAGAAAAAAGGTAAAGTTAGAAGAAAAATCAAGCTACAAGCAAGAGAAGGAAGAAAAGGGAAAAAGAGAACATAGAAAATAAAGAAATGATGGAAAGAAAGGTGGATAGTTTGAGAAATGAAGACGGAAAGAAAGAATAATGGACGAAATGGAAGGAATGCAAGGAGGAAAGGAGAAAGGTAAGGAATTAGGAAAAACAGAGGTGAAAGAATAAAGAATTGAAAAGAGCGAGACAAAGACTAAAGATGTGAAAAAATAAAGAATTGAAAAGGTGAGGCAAAGGCTGAAACAGGAAAGAAAAGAGTGGTGAGGGAAGTGAAGAGAAAGGAAGGAAAGCTTGGGAAATATCCATCAAAACAATTACATTTTTTTTCTTTTCCATCTCAGTAAAAAAGATACTCTAAGAAAGAAAATGAGTTAACTCACTTTTACAGATTCTCTTCCATTTATGCTTCTACACAATGAGCACATGCAATGGTGTATTACGCCTGACTTTTTCTGGGAAGGAGGTTTAGAAAAGGGTAGGTGTGGAATTTGATCCCATGAAAGAACTTCTGAGTTACTTACCATTCCTAAATTGAGCTTTCCTCTCATCTGAAAGGAGATGCACATGTAAGATGGGGACTCCCAAAGAGATGAAGATACAGAAAAAAAGACATGCATTCTTCTGAGGAGTTTATCATAATCATTTCTATCATTAGTCAAGCCATTGCTCCCTTCTGAAATTATTTTCATGGATAAAATAAAGTTGAATCACATGATTTTAAGGACTTAATCAAGGTAAGCAGGTAAATTATTCCTAACATGATAGCTGCAATATACAGAGGCAAAAGGGAAATGCAAGAGATACCTAAAATAAGGAGTTAAGGGGAAAGAATGAAGAGAAGCAAGGGATCACCAGAGGAGGACATAATCTTGCAAATAGTTAACTATTAGGATACAATTACCAATTTCCTTTTGCAATTTTTCTGAAAAACAAAAGTAAAAACTTCATTTTAATGTTACAGAGAAAAGAAAAATTAAACTCACTTGGAAGGATGATACAGTTTTCTCCAACACATTTCAAAAAAAAAGAAAGAAAACATATTATGTGTTAATATAGATAATTTTACAGTTAAAATTCAAGAGGGAAATTATCAAATTCCTCCATGAAGTATTCTTTCTAATCTAATTTAGAATACTGAGAATCATGATTATCATCACCTGCAATGTTGTCATGCAATACAAGCTACAACTTATTCAATTTTCCAGTGACTTAAATATTCGCTAAAGGCTTTATGTAATTAATACTAGCAAAATAATTGTGAAGTAGTGCTCCTCTGTTCAAAAAAGAAAGATCTGAGAATCAAAGGGGTCAACAACATGAAGAAGTTTCTGTTGGTAAATGGACAGATCAATGATTTGAACCCAGGTCTGTTTAAATGCAAAACGAAGACTCTGTAACACTATGCCATAAATCTCCACCCCTGGGGCAGCCAGTTGAGGCTTCAATCACAAGGTAGAAAACAGTGGCGTCCTCTACAAGGAACAATCTACTGTACTTTTTAAAAGGTGTCCTGCATAGAAGAGCTTTTGAATTTTTCTTAGAATCAGACTGTGGGCACAGTAAGCACCACGAGAGCTCTTTCAGATATATTCTCATTAACATTTTGCTCATCTCAGAGCCATGACAAGGAGTTATTGTTGGCATGGAGAAAATCAAAAAATAATACATTAGATAAAGAGAAGAATGAATGGGAAAAGTAAGTTAACTGACGAGAGAAGAACAAAGAGAGAAACAGGTAACGGAAGTTGTAATACAGTAAGGATGAATAAAAATCTCGAAAGAGAAAATTATACAGAGGAAGTAGGAGGAACGGAAAAGGGAGGAAGCAAGAAAAATCACTATAGAAAGGTCACATCTTATAAACTGTCATTAAAGTTTACCATTTTCTGGGCTTCCCTGGTGGTGCA